CATTAATATTACTGACCGGAAGCGGCCTCCACCAAGGCATTCAGATCACTTGACCTAACTAAATATATTAGCTTTCTTATAATTCTGAACCCACTATCAGAATAATACACTTGATTGAAGGACACCATTCCTTTCAATCTCCCACTTGTCCTTCCGGACAAGTTAACTTTCAGTGTATAGCCCCTTTCCTATGTCTCTTCATGAGCTATAGGGTAAGATTACTGTCATCCCTATTACGTCCAGAAGTGTTTCTCGAAATCCAAGTTTGACTGTCAATAAGTTGATGATTTCTAAAATCCATCTGACCACGACCATGCATTTTCACAGTCTCGCTCTTCGAGAGGCCTTGTAAACAACAAGACATGTTCCCTATCGTTAGTAAGGGGACATTTCCAGTCTTGTAATGTAGCTTCTCTTACTAAGAAACGGTGTTATAAATCATACTACACACTAATCTCTAATGGTCATTAATCGTCCACAAAATAAGTGAACTTGATTAGGGATAATTTTCGATTAAAATATTCAATGTTCACTTAAAAGGTGTTTCTTTATCCAAGACATTTTCTTGATACCCTATTTTGAATATTCTTTAAAATCGAATGGACTCATTATTGAATTCTAAACCACAATTAAATAGAAAACAGAGTGATAAAAATTGCATGAAATTTAAAATTACTCCAAAATCTGAATGGTTCATCTCATGATAAATGGTTTTTCCGAGTGTTTTAAGAGTATCACTCTTTATAAAACATCTATAGAAATCACACCCATATTTAATATGCTTGATTTCTTTCATGCAATTGTGAATGTTGTCGTTCACTTATTGCATAGGTTTAGTTATAACTACTTTGCTAATCTTAGCATCTTCATTACTGATCACTTTCATAATAAGATGATAAAATTTGAGAGTGTCATGGACTATATGTGATTTAGAATTTATTGTCCAAGTGATGGATCCCACTCATTTTCATGATTGAGATCTTCAACTTAATAACCTACAATCATTAACGTTCAGCAACGAACTTTCCATAGAACATATTCTTTATTATCGCCATTAAGGCAACCATATTCTCAACATATATTTTAGTAGACTTCCTGATGATGCTTTGCTTGGGTTTCACTCCAAACGGCTCACAATGATTTGGGATACCCTAATCACTTGTGATCATGGAAATTTTCCTTAAATTCCTGCACATTACACATGGATGCACGTCAATGTTACCATTCTCAAGCCACGACTTTTGTTAGCTCGTGCTTATAAACGGATTCCTTGTTGAGGATCTAATCCTTGTTAAGGTTTGTGCTTGCAACATCAATTCTCAAATTGTATTTGTTTCCACAAGCCAAGAACTCATCCTATTACTTATCCAAGTACTTTGGATGTTCTTGGCCACAATCTAACGATCTATTACATAGATTCAGGTTTATTGGTACTATATACATACTTCACATGGTCCAAGCAAGTAAGTCGTGCGACAATTCCATATCACACCGTACATGATGGATTAAATTGCAGAGTAATTCTCAATCTTATTCCATCCATGTGACATTTTAGGTCATTCAGTTTCACTGAGTCTTGCTAAACTATTTGTTGTGTGATATGGTTAAAAGTCTCTATTAGAGTCTTTCATGTTTGACTTAGTATTTAGCCTAGCTTATACTTAGTTCAAAGATTTACTTAGTTTTTTACATACGGGTTGAAAGTCTTTCAAAGCCCTTCAATTCATGTTTAACACGGTAAAATCCTTTACACGTTCAAACATTTTATTAAGTCTATACAATAGATCTTAATACCAATATGTACTAAGTATCGTCTTTTGCTTGGTCCATTGTCGAAAATACTTTCAAATCTAAGCATTTAGCATTTGATAGTTATTTCACAATAAAGTTCATAATTTTTTCATTGGACCTATATATAATTTACTTTTGCTCCTATGTTTCTTCATTATTCAATCCTCTTATTAACTTTATGAGAAAACATGTTCCAATTCCTATATGCAATGCTTCCATTAATCCCATGACGGATTCCTTGAGCTTGCTTTTAAATCTAGCATTTATTTAGATTTTCAAAACCCTTAGACTATTATCATAGTCACTTCCAAAATCCTATTTTAGGGAGGCGGTTTTTGTATCTATTTTGCCATATTTCATATGAGCAATTTTGCTAAAACAATCACGAAAAGACTTTAGCATCCCAATTGGTGAATATGTTTTTATTAAAATCAACTTCGTGAATTTAATTTTACATATTCAAGCAATGTATGCATATGCATTTCCACATTTGTTAGTTTTCTCCTTGAAAACTTATTTGCAATCGATGGGTCTTTCACCCTTTATTCAAATTAATCAAGTTTTAAACATGATTTTCAAACATGGAGTCTATCTCGGATTTCTATGGCCTCTAACCATTATTCGGAATTTGGATTTGTCATATCTATCTTACAAGGCATTATTCCTTTACTATCTAATAGTAAATAGTGTGCTTGTAAGTCTTAGTTTTATTTCTAACTTAATAGAAAATTTATAGGATTCAACTCAAGCCTTTGGTGAATTATATACCTATACGGGTTTATTGCATCAAACACTGAATTTCAAGGCTCTTCCAAAGCCCTTTGATTTTATTGATCTTACTCCAACTTTTCAAAAGTTTTGTGAGAAATGAATTCTCTTTTAAGACACCTGTAAAGTCCTTTTGAGTATTCTTGATCAAGTATTCTCACGAAGCCCTTTTAAGGTCTTCCGAGATTCTTAGTTCTAGTTTGTTGCCAAGCTCTATTGTCATCGATTTCATTTTCCTCCCTCATGTCGTTTTGGAAATGTGTTACTTTCAAGAAAGACACCACTTAGAGAAACAAACACTATGTTCTCAATTAGGTTGTGGAGGTAATGCCCGTAGTCTCACTTGAATGCTTACATAGAGGCATGTATATTGTATTTGGGTAAAAGTTCATTGTAAAACAAACAGTTAGCTCCCACTTGAGCTATCTTAGCCTTTAATGAGCCATTAAGCTCCCACTGAGACTAAGAGTCTTAGACATATACTTGAATAGACGTTTAGAAGTTATTTCTATCCATAACAGAATATGGCGTCCTTTCTTAGCTTCGACATTTCATTTAGTGTAATATTAGTCATTTGTGGTTGTGAGCCATCATCGTTCGAGTCATTTTCAAAAGACATCGAGGTCTCCATGAGGACATACCATGTTCTTTGTGGAGTTTGTTTATGAAAAATTTCCTTTCATAATTTTAAGATGGTCACGCTTGGCTCAAGCAAACATCGCTCGATCTAATCTAGACATGTTGATATCTTGCCAAGTCAATTATGTACTTCACTTAACTCATAAGCTACTCAGGTCAAGTTTGTTCACATTTGATGAATATAGCCATATCCTGTCAAATTCTTTGTGAAACGTTGAAGTAATTGAATCCTCTTTAGCCTTCGGAGTCAATTGTCTATATCAAGAACAATAGTCTTTGCTTTGTTGGTTTCAACAAGTAGGACTTGCTTGTCATAGAGTGATTCTGAATCGAGTAACTATCAAGAGTCTATCTAATAGAGCCTTGAGTACGTTCTTGTCGATGTGACATTGCTAAAGATGTTCAGAACGCAAATCATGCTCATGATTTTGAGCTTTTACCAGTTTATCATGTTAAGAAAATGTTTGTTTATAATCAAGCATTCTTGACTCATAGCTTGGATAACCATGCCATTCAAATAAATCTCGCAACTATTTCTCATTGCTTTGAATGTGAGTCTTTTTGTATGTAAATAGATCAATTGCTGATTATGGAACATAATAATAACCATTATTCGTTGCAACCTTTAGCTTAATAGGTCTTTAAACAAAGCATGCGACCTTACAACTGATGTAGCACCACTTTCTTCATTCTAAGCTTCTAAGTCGATAACTTAGCTTATATATCTTCAATAGTTTGAGGTCACTTTCAAAGTGGAACACTCAAGCAGTATCCGATACTTTATGAAGATAATGAGTTCCTAAGTTAACTTCAATAACATGAATTCTTTAGTAAAATGGAATCTCAATACTTTTCATTGTTCTTTGTTTCCTATATTTCTTATCATACTTTATCTCATAATCTGTAAGAACAATTTCTTTAAGAGTCTTTGACTTTTATACTTTGTTAGGCATAATTAAGCATCTAATGCGCCCTAAAACAAAGTTCCATCTTTTCCTTTAATTCACGCTCGAATTACTACATCAATGACTCTTACTCATCTATGTATTAAGCGAAAAGATATGTTGGTTCTCAATATTGACAATTTGAGTTTGCAACTCAATACTTCATGTTTAATCAAAACTACCTAGTATTTTGAATACATGATGCCTAACCTTCCTTAAAAGTCATTTATGAGAATTGTATTTTAGAAATGCTATACTTTTCTTTGAGAACCATTCTCAAAGATTTTCTTTACCAATCATGTACATAAATGACCTTAAGTAACATCTAAAAAGTATTACATAAAGTGGTAAAAATGTTATTATAGACAATAGGTAACACTTTAGTGGGTGATACATCCGCCCATGTTACCTATGGTCTTACGTAACACTTTGGGTAACGTATAGTAACACTTTTAAAAGTGATACTGTAAACCCTCTTATGTAATACTTTTTTATATTATTAGTATCATTTTTAAAGTGTTACTTTTTATTTCTTATGTAACACTTATATATCTTTAGTAACATTTTTCAATCATATGGTAACACTTTATTAGACATTTTGTATCATTTTTGCAAAACTAATGTAACACCTTGTTGATTATCAGGTAACAATTTTCAATTATCTTAGACATATGGTATCACTATATTCGACATTGTGTATCACTTTTTGCAAACAAATGTAACACCTTGTTAATTAAAAAGTAACATTTATTATTCTATGATTATTTAAAACATGCAACTTATTTTTTTTTTTTTTTAAGTATGTTAAAATAATATTAACATGTACAACAAACACAAATGTGAAATTAGCATACACAATAGACAATAATTAAATTGATATATTTTTATAGACAATAATAAACACCATCTTTTATGTTTGGCTAAAGTATATATTAATCCAAACAAAAAGACTATTAAGTATTGTTCTATACATAGTACTAATAGTCCCTCTTCCTAACTATTCAGCTGAACCTCTCATCAATTAGTTCCGAAGAAAATAACTCAGTTCCTCCCGCACAAAACACCAAACTCCCACTCTTTCCTTTATCATGACTTCTTGTTGAGCGCTCTTCACTAACTCCTCCATCTTGTCCTCCGTCCTCATCATTGTAGTCGCATCTTCATTCATCGAATAGTCTAATGCCATTGTTGTTCTATTAGTATGACGGTCACGATCTTTCCTCTGATTCCTTACTTCTATAACAAAGCATGTGATTGACCCTTTAGTACAATCACTCTTACAATGATTACCCATATCTTAAAGTTAATACCTATATCACTGCAAAAAATAATAAATCAAAAGGTAAAAGATTACTGGTAAAAAATAATTCATACAGATTCTGATAAATTTCGCTCAATCCCACGCCCATGATGCAAACCCTATGCAAAAGTCAGTTACCTCTTTCATATATTCATGCTTTTGTCTTATAATCTTTGTTTTAGACAATTAATAATCTTACAAAACACTTACCAAAAGCATAAATAGTAAAGATTTTACAAAATAGCTTCAAAAATATGACTACAGATTGAATTTTTTAGGACAAACAAGACATAAGCTACTAGATAACAACATCTTCACACAATATGGGTAACAATTAAAGTATTAACAAGTAAAAAACAGCTGTGAATTAAAAACAACCAACAAAAATACTAGATTAACTGAAAAATCCAAAACAATATCTCCAAACCAACATTCAAACCAACAACTAAAGCCGGTATTGAATCACTACTGATCCCGCAGCCCACAATCACAATTAAACAATCTAAACAGAACATGCAATTAACTTAGATTTTTCTATGGGTAATTCATGTGTACATTAATTTGAATGGTGAATATCGTACTCAGATCGAAACTTTCTCAAACTCAGTTAAAAAAAAGAGTGAAATACTCACATGAATTAAACTGAAAATTAAATTTCGATAAACCTTAGATTGTGAATTAAGCCTTAAAGTACCTAATTTACTCATTGTTGTAGCTGCTTTATTGATACTATTTAAGATCCGAAGGGAGTAACAAATAAATAAGCAAATTATTTCAGTTTTTGAATTAGAAAAATGTCAACAAAAAAAAGCACTTTGTAATGTGATAATTAGTTAGGATGAGCAAATAATGACTCACAACTCAACATTTTCCCACCTGCCACACAATCCAACATCCAAATGGGCTTAAAAATATGTAGTCCACCACTGAAAGACATAGCAAAACATGCAATGAAACAAACCACATTCAATACGAAGTATAATTTAAGGTATTCTACAAATAATACAAAGGAAAAGGGAAAAAAATACAATGAGGTAGCTTACTGCAACTTTAATTCGCCATCCCCATGCTTCAACTTATATGCCTGATACTCCAATAAAGTTTTTATTATATGTGGTTATCATGATCAGTAAAATTAAATTATCCAAGAACCAATTACAAGAATTTGGAGGCTAATTATTGACAAAACTGGCATAGTTAACCTATCTCTTGTTTGATTGCTTGTAGATGCCCTATAAATGCATCATCCTAACTCAAATCTGCCTAAATTATCATCAGTAAAGTATAACATTACTTTTTAAGAGTAGGGAGAAAAGTAAGGTGAAGGCAAGTATATAACTGCATCAAAGGTACTTATCCATATCCGACCCTAAATTAACTCGAGACACAAGTCTACTAAACTACCCACATCAGATCACACACATCCAATGTCACTTATAAAAATGTGTTCAAGGCTACATTCAATAGAGATATAAATAAACGGGACAAGGGGATCAATCTGTATTATAATGGAAACGGGACAGGGGGGATCAATCTGTATTAGAATGGAAAATTCAGAAAAAGTAAAATTGAGATAGTTGAAGAGAATTTGAAGGAAAGTTGATAAAGGTAGCAATTAAAATTCAATGAAATTAAATCATTAAATGGGGTTTACAATGCGAATTTATCAAGAAACGGGACACTCCCAATTCTAGGCAAAAATAAAGTCAAACCCGCTCAAATAATATTCTACTTATTTTTTTTCACTGATCTCGAAGTTTAACTTAATTTCCTCCCTTAGCGTAAACGTTTAACTCCTCAACTTATTTCCTAAGTTGCCTCATAACTAAAATACACAATAATGGCAATAGTGTCCCTCCCCTCTAAAGGTTAGTCTATTTTAAGAAAAGGAGCAGTTTCATAAGATTAAGTAATGTGCTTTGTTTGAGCATTGTACCAATAGAGGGAAATGCAGAGTTATAGATACAACAGACAAACTCTTTAGAACTGCAAAGTGTCGGCCCAATGTTGGACACTAGAAAATTCCCGTTAGGAATCAATAATAGAATTATTACTTAATTACAATCCATCGATAACTCCCTCTCCCTTTTCATTAAATTAACAGCATTCTACACTTCTCTAGTGATCCCTATACAATTAAACAACATGCCAATTGTACTTTATGTCATAATGGAGTAATCAAAATGGTGAAATCAAAATGGACGATCACCTATTTCTTTTTTACCAAAACTAAAAGACAACAATGTGACAAAAAATCGAAAACACATCTAAATACTTCAACCAAACTCATCTAAGAAGCAGTAATCGAAATGATTAAAGAAAAAACAAAAAAAAAAATCCCAAACTCATCTAATCAGCAGTAATCGAAATTAAGAAAAAACGAAAAATCCCAAACTCATCTAAATACTTCAACCAGTACAGATGCATGCAAAATTGAGTATGAAAATTGTGAAATTAAATATGTTAATAGACAAATTCAACATCAAATTAATAAATCATAACAAGATCAGAGAAACAAAATACGAACCCTAAATTTAGCTAACTCAAATTCTTGTTGATAATGGAAGGGAGAGGAAACAATTAACCATAACCTTGACTTTAAGGTGGAAGCGGCCGAGGACGGAAGCTAATAGGTGGCCATTGTTGTCTCTTCAATTGGAGCACGGGCTGTCGAGCTGTTGTGTACATCTTTGAGTTGGAGCAATAACTCTGATCTATGCAGGTAGGCTGTGCTGGACGAGGGCTAAGATGGAGCACCGGGAGCGAGAAGATGGTAGCGGTGGAAGCAAAGGAGAGGAGGTGCAGTGGAAGCCGAGGAAGGGATAAATACGAGGAAGGGAAGGAGGGAGGTTATCGTTAGTATATACCTATATGGAGGGTCGATTGAATGAGGGGTTATTTTATTTTGAAGCAGGTAAACGGTTTTGATAAGAAAAAAGAAATTAAAAAAAAAAATCAAAGTGTTACAACCAAGTGATACATAATATCAAAGTGTTACAAGAAAGTGCTACATAATTTTAAAGTGTTACAAAAAATGTTACCTAATATCACAATGTTACAAAAGTGTTACGTAAAAATCAAATCATCATGAATTTGTTAAAGTGTTACCAAAGGGTGTTACTTAAACCTAATTTTGTACTAGTGATGGAAAACAATACAGTTTTATGTGGAATTCTACAAATATAAGTGCAAAGTATAACCATTTATCAAAAAACATAATAAGTTTGAAAAATTAAAAGGTATTCATGCAAATTTTTCAATCTTATTAAACGTCTTATCCACGCATTAAATTTGTCTCCATTTGGCGAGAATAAGTTGATTCCAAGATCCAAAGAAACAAAGAGTGGTTAAGCATGCTTTGGCTTGTCTTAACACTCAATCTCCTAAGGTAAGAAACACTTTGCTAATGGCTCTAAGCCACTCTTGGTTGAATAAATCGTCGCATCTAATGCTCTCTCAACAATTTATTCACTTTACCACGACATGTTAGGACTCCATCACTCATATCGTTGAGTACAACCAAAACCAACATGCACACTCGGTGTGCCTTACGTTCCTTGGAGTAGTGATGTTATCTCGCTTTGGCGTAGCCCACCATCACCTTCTTTTGGTTGGTAAGTGTTGTTTTGGAAAGGCAAGTTTTACTCAATATTATTAGGGACCTAGGGTTTCTATGTTGGTTGATTTAAGTACACTTAACTAATCATCACAACATTTTGAAAACCTAAACATGCATCTAACATATCATTCATATATATGCACAAGCATAAATATATAAAGCATAAGTATAAGATGCATGTTGGCAACTAGCATGACTCCTTGAATTCTTCAAGTCTTCAAAAAGTCTTCTCTTGCATGTTCATGGCTTTGTCTTCCAAGAAACTCCGTCTTCAAGACTTAATCAAGATTATGCAACTACTAGTATCTACGATTAGGGTTAATCTAAATATTAAGGTACAAAAATACTCAACGGTACGTACGTAGACCGTATTTAGATTTACAAAAATACATCACGGATTGCAGTCCGTATTTTCTATCCTAATCGGGTCCCACTAGTCGCCATTACATAAAACCTGTGAGAAAATATACATTACATTCATCTATTCACTATTTGTGAATGGTGTTTCGGGGTTTTCTGATGTCCTGCGGGAGAGTTACAATTCCGAGACTGGAACCGGACGCCTGTACCTGCAAAACAACGGAGACTCCTGGTGGTGGGAGCTCCGCCTCCAACGGTCAAGTTAGTACTTGATTAAGGAGTAATTAATGCGGAAATTAAAGTGATTGAGTCTCTCTAGGTGAGAGTGTTTAATGTGAGTTTTTAGCGTAATTTGCTTCGTTAGCGTGATCAGCCTATTATCTCTGTAATTAATGTGTAATCCCCCCTTAATGAGGATTAAGGGAGGTATTTATAACCTTGGGAAACGTGCCAATCCTAGGTTTAGGTTAACCTAGGGCTGATTGGGCTTCCCTCGGAAGTTGGGCCTGGGTGACCGGTTTCTCCATTAGGCATGGAGTATGCCACGTGTCATGACATAATAGGTCCAAGGTGGACGAATAAGCGCGTGCCACGTGGCAAGCCCTGACAGTTCCAACTGGGAGACACTTGGCAGGACCTGATAGGCCCACGTGGCGCATTCCGATTGGTAGGAGCAAAATCCCCTAATCATTTGCCCCTCACAGGTGGCACGTGACTGGTCACGTGTTACCTGTGACAGGTGTCGCACTGTAATAGGCGACGGCCTGCTACAGGTGTCAGTCGGCGAAAGGCCGAGAGATTTTCCCGCCCAAATTTTGAATTCTGAAAGTGACCCTTCGCCTTCTCACTTCGCCTATATAAGGGAGTGTTGACTTCAGTCATTTTCACACTTGAGAACTTTTTGAGAACATTCGGACCCCTGAACTTGCTCTAACATTTTGGACCCTTTCTGCCTACCGCCTGTTCTGACAAGCCGCCTGCAAAGGATTTTCAGAACTTCATCAACCGTCACTCGTTCAGGTAACTGTCGGTTCTCTTACTCTTAATTTTCTTTTTATTCTTTTTTGAAATGGCACCACGGAAGCACACGACACGACCTAGGTTAGTGATCAGCCGGTCACCGGGGACGGCTGAATCTAGGACTAGGAGTGCCGCCTGCCCTTTTCCGGACCCATCTTTGCCCTTTATACAAAGTCCGACTGTATCTGTGTCTATGCAGAGCAGGATGGCCAGAACAAAAAAGACTGCTAGGATCTCAAATTCAGACGGCTCCTCCCACAGGGTGCCGATTAGTGAAACATCTGACCAGGCGCCAGATGTGGAAGTGAAACAAGGCGGCCTGAAAGCCGGCAATTCAGAGGGAGGAGTCATAGTGACCCCTTCCCATTTTACAGTTAACAATTCTGCTCCTTTTCAAGGAGAGGAGGCGGGCCCCTCCGGGAGAGGGGAGGAGTCGTCCTCTTCGGACTCGTCAGAGGACGATTCCGAGTCAAGCTCTTCTGGCCATGCTTCTCTGGACACAGAAGAGAAAAACAGTCGCCTGCAAGAGGCGAGGCTTTTTGAAGACTTGAAGAATTCAAGGAGTCATGCTACTGCACGGTACCTCGGGGCCGGATCACAGCCATGCAAGAGAAAGTGGAGAGCTTTATCGCAAACCACACAATGGGCCCCGACTTTTTAGTGTTTGTGCCGGATCCAGAAGACACAGTCGTCTGGTCGGCTGGTACCAGTTATGATAGCGCCTGCTTTGGCTGCTACGAGGCAGCCATCAAGGCTGGGCTGCGCTTCCCACTACATCCGGTTGTTCAGCGGATCTTGGATGGGTATGAGTTGGGGTTATGGCAGTTAGCCCTGAACTCCTGGGTCAATGTATTCGGCTATGTGGCCGGGTGCGAACTGCATAGGGTGGAGCCGAGCTTCGAGGCTTTCGCCCACATGAACTACCTCAGCCGGACCCCTAAGGCAGGCGGTACCGGCTGGTATCAATTGACAAGCCACAGGGGCTACCTCATGACGAGAGGTAAAGCAAACAAGTGGAAGGACTGGCGGAGCACCTTCCTCATCATTGAGAGTTCAGACACTGAGCTGAACAAGCGCTTCAATAGGTGGAACAGGAATCCGCCCCTTCTTGCAGGCGGCCGTAGCATGCCGCCTGTTCCCCCCAAGGCTAAGAAAGAGATCCTTGATAAAGGACTCTTTAAAGTAGAGTCGAGGGTCGACTCTACTTCAGGGGTACGAGAGCAAGTACCCCTGCACTGCGTCCCGAGCTTCAAATGGCTCTACGACGAGTACTTTTTGGCCACCTGTGGCCTCAGCAGTCGATGCTCAAGAGGTAGTCGGCCTGTCGAATACTCTGATGTTCCGTGCATTTTTGTTATAACTTCTATTAACTTTGCTGTTTGCTTTTGCAGCGGACGCTATGAGCAAAATTACCGCCTCCAAGACTGCGGCGACCATGTTGCGGGCCTCCATCATGCAACAAGCTTCAACCAACTCCCCCAAGAAGGGGGCACCCTTGGTGAGCTCCTAACCTTTCACCCTCTTTTTGGAGTTGTGTTTATGCATATACTGACTTTTTTCTTCTTCTTTTTTTTTTTTTTTTTTTTTTTTTTTTTTTTTTTTTTTTTTTTTTTAGACGGGTGCTCCAAGAGCTTCTTCTTCCCAACAGCCGGACCCCAAGGCCCGGAGAACGACTGTTGCGAGCTCTCCTGGTTCTGCCAGGAAACATGTGGCGGCTGAGAAACAGCCGGCCACTTCTTCAAAAACTCCAGCTGGGCCGCCTAGAAGTATGGAGTTGTCCTTGTAAATTTTAGACTTGCTCCCTTTTTTACTAGGTCTAATCCGTTTGTTTACGTTTGATGCAGCCGGCCCTCAGGAGCCTGACTTGGTAGAGGTGGCCAAGTCTATGATCAGGGCCGTTCCTCCAGCTGAAAGGGAGGCGGTCAGGGGTGTCGGCACCCTTGACCTAGACGGGATTGCAGGGGTCCTTGCTGAGGTATACTTAGCATATTTTTGAGTATTTGAATTTCTGGACGCCTGTTTTCTTTTTTGTTTGGAAACTGACGCCTGTTCCTTTTTACTTAGGCCCTGCTCCGAGTGAACGGCCTGAAGCCGCTTGACTGGAAGAACAAAGAGGTAAAGGCTGCAAAAGCCATGGCCGCCTCCAACTGTGATAAGGCAATGTTTCAAATTGCCCAAAATGAAGTTCTGACCATTGATATTCTTTATTATCAGGCGCAGGCTACCGCCGCTATTCGGGCTCAGTTACAGGCGGCCCAGAAGAGGAATGGCGAGCTGGAGGCGACCATCACCAATCTCAAGGCCGAGCTGAAACCTCTTCGCCTAAAGATGTACTCGTACGAAGCCTTGGAGAAATCTTTGGCCAACGTAAAGGAACGCTTGGTGACCCAGGAGAAGAGTCTTACCCAGGAGCTCTCGGAAAAGGCCGAGCAAGAAAAGAAAGAGCTGGTCCGGGAGATGATGGAAGACTCCGCTCAAATCCAGCGCATGACTTGGGGCCGCCTCTTCCCCAATGCCGACTTTGCCTCATGGGAAAAAACGTACCGCCAGTGTTCTGATACATATAATCAAGAGATCCTGGCGGCTGCTGAGGAAGAGGCGTTGGAGGAAGCGTTGGAGGAGGAGGAGCCGGTAGTGGCGCTTGTGCCGCTTGGGGGTAATGCATCAAAAAAGGATGCAGCTGAAGCCGAGTCCAGCAAGAAGAGTGCTGACCAGGCGGCAACTGCTAATATTGAAGATCTGCCCCCTTCTTAAGCTTTATGTATTCTTTCCACGGCCTGCGTGCCGTTTGTTTTGTATTTACCCGGCCAGGGGGCCGTGGCTCTGAATATTTTGCCGGTCTTTAATGACCGGCTTCTTTTTAATGAATTTTTGTTTTGATTCAAATTTGTCTAAGTATTGAATATTCTAATATCCAATTGTTCACTAGACCGACTGTTTTACATGGCCGATAGTTGCAGACAGGTACGGATAGTTAGTCACGCCGCCTATGCCCCTGGACGACTGGTTGTCTGTTTCCA